TTATTTAACACTAACAGCATGACGTGTTTTATTCCTCACATACCAAATTCATTTTCCTAAAATCATTTCATTTATTTATTAAAGGAATCTATCTTTTTATTTATTTATTTATTTTTATTTCTAGTTACATTTAATGTTAAAACACATCAGTCCCTGTTCTCACTTACACTATAGCAGCTATAAACACTCGTTCATTCACCGGCTTCTCTTTATTCTCTCCCTTTATTCTCTCTCTTTATTCTCTCTTTATTTTTTCTCTTCATTCTCACTCTTCATTCTCTCTCTTTATTCTCTCTCTTGACTTTAATAAGACACTAAGTTTAAAAATCATAAAAAAAAGTCATAAAAATCACGTTTACGAGAAAACTCGCCAGAAATCTTAGTTTTTACTTCTGACACTGGAGACTCCTTCCATAAATATTAAATAAACGTCTCCTTAGAGAAAGCTTCCACGTTTTTTATTTTATTTTATGTGGCGCGTCTGCCGTACAAGTCCCCGCGAACGAGCTGTTGCTATAGAAACGGTAACGTATTAGAACGAGTGCATTGATAGAAACCTGTGATTTGCAGCTGCCAGAGCTGCTGTTATAGAGAACGAATCAATAGGTTCAGATTTGAGATTTGTGGATCCGTGGCTCGCGCACCAGCCTCGCAACTCTGGGGTTGAGGGTTCGACTCGGGTTCCTCCCTCGGTCCAAAGACCTGCGCTGTAGGCTGGTTGGCATTTCAAAATTGTGCGTAGCGTGTATAATATAATAAATATAATATATATATATATATAATTAATATATAATAAATATAATAAATCTGATCTAAAATCTGTTGCGTTTTTGAGGAACTGATAGAATGAAAGCGGCTGATGGTGGCGAGTGATTCAAATAACATCCATCAACTGTACGCTTACGGTGTTCATGTCAAGGTGAATTAGATTGGCCATGATAATGACTTCATCAGATCACATGACCTGAAGCTTAGTGTTGGAATGAGTGTGTGTGTGTGTGTGTGTGAGTGTGTGTGTGTGTGTGTGTTATTGAGGGGGTCTAGGGCGGATCGTCCGCTACTCCAGGTTTGGACAGAGTTATTTCCAGGGCCCTGTCCATCTGTTACCGTGGCAGCAGCGGTGGAGGCGTTGCCATGGCACAGTCCGGACAAAAGGGCGTGGCGTGGGAACGGGTGCAGGGGTCACGACTGAGGGCGAAGAGGTCAAAGGTCACAGCCAGCTGGCCAGCACAAGAGGAGATGAGGGTGAGAAAAGAGGGCGGGGCCCCGTCAGGCTGGACACTGCTGGACATTAACATTGAACTGTGCACGGAGATGAAAGAGGGGTGTGTGTGTGTGTGTGTGTGTGTGTGTGAGGAATAGGCTCTATGGGAGGCTCCTCACATTATCCTCGCCGTGGACACCGCTGCCTAATCGCGCGTAGAATTTGACAGGCAATTGACTCCGGTCAATGTCCACACAAATGCGCCTATTGAGCGATTCCCCAAAATTTCAGTGTGTGTGTGTGTGTGTGTGTGTGTGTGTGTGTGTGTGTGTGTGTGTGTGTGTTGGAGTGGAATGTATTCATCACTTTCATATCGATAAAATCAGCCTTAATTCAGCTAAAAAGTTGTCTATTTGCGTTAAAGAACTGAGGCGTAGGTTTAGTTTCAAAAAAAAAAAATTTTTTTTTTTTCTTTGCCACACAAGCACACATTCTAATAGGGGCTCAGAACACTGAATAGATATAGCAGATTTTTTTTTTTTTTTTTTTTTTTTTATTTTTTTTTTATTTTTATTTAAAATTTAATTTTTTTTTTTTTTTTTTTTATAAATAATAATAAAAGTTTTCAAGCTGTGTGGGTTTTGTGGATGACGGTTTTGTTCTTCTGGCTCTGCTGAAAAAGTGTCCCTCTGGACGAGAGAAAGACCAAACGAGACGGATTTTTACCTCAAACTCTGAACCGGATGATTCTAACGTAAACGTGTATAAAAGAATTTAAACAAACTTACTGTATAAAACAGCAGTGACATACCCCCAACTGAACAGTGGAAACAGTCAAGGTTTAAGTATAAAACCCAATAAAGAATCGACCGTGCGGATGAACACGAAGGTCGTTGACCTCTTATTCGTGTTTAAACCGCTAGACGCTTTTTCAGACAGCACATTTTTATATGTTTGTATTAATTCCCACGTTGTAGAGATTCAACCCTGTGTTGAAAAAGTGTTACTCCGGAGGAGAAAGGACTGAAGCGGATAGAGCTTTAGCTGAAAACTCAGAAGCAGATGATTTTCCAGTGAAAGATCAATAAACAAAACAAAACGGAATAAACAGGATGTTGTTTATGACCACTTCAATTTTTTTTTCCCAACAAGAAATCCTGGCTGCTTTATCTGTCCATCCATCTTCTACCACTTATTCCTTCTTCAGGGTCACGGGGAACCTGGAGCCTATCCCAGGGAGCATCAGGCACAAAGCGGGGTACATCCTGGACAGGGTACCAGTCCATCGCAGGGCACAATCACATACACACTCACACACCCATTCATACACTATGGACAATTTACCAACCTGCCAATCAGCCTACCATGCATGTCTTTGGACTGGGGGAGGAAACCGGAGTACCCGGAGAAAACCCCCACAGCACGCGGAGAACATGCAAACTCCACACACACACACACGGCCCCGGCGGGAATCGAACCCCGGAGCCTGGAGGTGTGAGGCGACGTGCGAACCCCTAAGGCTGCTTTATATATTTTAAAAATTTGATTTGATGTTCTTTTATTGTTTTATTTTTGTTTGTTTTATATCTCTGATGCTGTTTTATTTGGTATATCACTCTATTTGATGCATAGCACTTCAGCCCTGAGATGAAGAGAAGATAGATGAGGTATTCTGTATATTATTTCATGACAGTATTGATATATATATATATATATACACACAAACACACACAAAAAAAAAAAAACAAACACACACACACACACACACACACACACACACACACACATAGGGGAAATACGGGGGGGTATTGAAGGAACAATGAGTGGAGCGTGTTCAACACTTTCTCCCCCGTGTCATTCCTCTTTATTACACATAACTTTATTTATGGACTTTAATGTTTTGAATTCTTCATATTTCCGGATTTCTTGAGTTAAATCTGATGTCTGGTGAAAACTTCATGTGAATAATCTCACTGGAAATATATTCACTGAAATAAATATTGATAGTAATTTCCCACCGCTGTAAATACAGAGAACAGAGTTAATTAGATAATGGTTAAAAACAACAACAACAACAACAACAACAAAAACCCCAGAGACACATCTACACTGGGTGATTAGCTATAATGAAGGATTTAGACGAGCAGTCCAACACACACACTGAACTTCACCTGCTCCCACTGCTCCGTTTCTATGCTTCAGACTTTATTGTGTTTAAAGAACTGAGTGATGTGTTTGTTGAACACGGCACAGAGAGACTCAGCGTGGTCTCTACGGTACAAGTATGACTAACAGGATTACAGACAACGCTGCAGCTTTAGTCCTACGCAACACATTCTGTCTCTGAAGATACAACAGACCGATCTGGAGCATCGTAAACCTCCGCCAGCGTCACGTCTGATTGGCTAATTGGCTGCTAGCTAAATAAATAAATGAATAAATGCGAGCGATACCATGCGCAGGCTCTGATCTGACATCTCGATCTGCACCACTTCTTTTGTCAGCTGTTGTTTAATATCTAAAATAAGACAAGTCAATGGATAAAATCAAGGTTTTTAAGGTGCTGCTATCAACACAGTTCCTGCTTTTCATCTTGGTTCTGGAGACTGTAACTGTGCTGCCTTTACATGCTGCATGTCGGGAGCTTCTTATCTTCATCCTCAATATAGCTGATTACGTTTCAAATAAAAAATACTGCCTTTAGACACTGTTTTGGAACATTCGGTGACTCGGGCAGATCCCATTGTGGTCTCATCATCATTCGAGGTCGACCTGAATAGACAGGACACGCTATCTGACCTGAACACCTGAAAATCCGCTTCAGGTTTCTGACAAAACTTTAAAGATCCTGCAGCACAAGATCTTATCCATGGACTGTGCCATGCTGATTCGCTCGTTCTAATACGTTATCGTTTCTATAGTAACAGTTCGTTCCCAGGGTGGACGCTTCACGACGGCGTGCGTGTAATCGTTGATATGGTGAAGATGTTTTCAGTAAGGAGATGTTTATTTAACAGAAGTGAGGTGGAAGGAGTCTCCAGTGTCAGAGGTGAAACTGTAATGTCACTTTTCTTTCTACACTTCTTTGTGGTTTCTCTGTAACATGAGAAACTGTGAGGATTTTTTTTTTGGTCTTATTAAGTTCAAGAGAGAGAATAAAGACAGAGTTGGTGAGGGAATGACGGTTTGTAGCTGCTGTAACGTAAGTGAGAACAGGAACTAACACAGATGTTTCACAGACATTCGACAACATTAACTGTAAACCGTACTGTCCAAACGTCCAGAGATCCCTTCAAAAATAAAGAATTGAAATGTTTCTACATAAATATATACACTACCGGTCAAAGTTTAAACACACCCATTCTCTGTTTTTAATAAAGACACCCTTTTTACCTAGAATTTTCTGAAATGTGTTCTTGGCACTTTCCCAACCGATTTCTTATTAATGAAAGTATTAAAGGAGCTCCCACCTACACTGGACACTTATTGGTGTGTTTAGTGGAATGATTCGCTCCAAGTCATCCATCTTCTACCGCTTACTCCTTCTTCAGGGTCACGGGGAACCTGGAGCGTATCCCAGGGAGCATCGGGTACAAGGCGGGGTACACCCTGGACAGGGTGCCAGTCCATCACAGGGCACAATCACATACACACTCACACACCCATTCATACACTACGGACACTTTAGACACGCCCATCAGACTACCATGCATGTGTTTGGACTGGGGGAGGAAACCGGAGTACCCGGAGGAAACCCCCGCAGCACGGGGAGAACATACACACTCCACACACACAGGGCCACAGCGGGAATCGAACTCCCAACCCTGGAGGTGTGAGACGAGCGTGATAACCACTAAGCCACCGTGCCACCGTACCCACGCAGAAAACAGTAATAAACTAAAGTAAGTCAGTGTCTGGTGTGACGACCCTTTGCTTTTTAAACTGCGTCAGTGGTCTCAGGTGCACTTTGTACAGTTTTATAAGGAAATGATCTGTAAGTTTCACTGAGCATCTTGGAGAATCCACCCCAGTTCTTCTGGAGACTTTGACTCTCACTCACTTCTCTTTTGTAACAAACCCCAGCAGTCTTCATTATGTGTGTGTTTGTGTCTGGAAACGGCTCTGTTTTTGTAATGATTCCTACTTCACTGACATACTAAATTAGTTTTTTTTTTTGTAACATAAAATGTTTCTGTACAGACTTAATAATGCAGAAGTCATAAAATAAACATCTATAACAAAATTTATACTAAAAAAACAGGGTGCGTAAGACTTTTCTGTGGCACTGTACCTGTAAAATAAAGAAAATAGGCAAATTGTTGGTAAATTGCTGCGGTGTAAGAGGAATAAAACACTTGGGGGCGTGCTGTTGCAGGAACAGAATTAACTTCGTCGTGTCACCAGTATCACACCACCTCGCTATTTGACTCAACTCTTACGGATCCTCTTAGTGATATACTGAAACATACTTCCTGTCCTTTTTCTGTCAGTGTGATACAGAACCTTTTGGTTTCAAAAGACTCGCTCTTGACTCGCTGCGTGAAACTCCTCCGTTCGCTTCCTCGATGCTTTAACCTCTTCACACGAAGATCTGAAACAGACGTGACTCTCACGAACGCGGGAAAACGTTTAGGATCGAGCAAACGGAAAGTTAAGAGACAATCCTTGAAAAAACAAAGTATACACCCCCCCACCCCCCACACACACACACCCCCGCTCCTTCCCACCAAACCCCAGTCAGTCTTGTACTTGGGTGGGCAGCGTCTGTGTCTGTGTGCGTGTGAACAGAAACGCTAAAAGACGGCAAAAAAAGCAACGCATATGATTACGGACGCACAGAGAAAGAGAAGGACCTTTACCTTGAACTCGGGCCGCTCTGTTTCTAGACATTTTGGAGAAAAAAAGTGTGAGGGGGTCCAGGGTCAGGGGAGGGGTTCTGGGGTCACACTGGGTCATCTGGGGGTTTCGGGGTTTTAAGAGTCAGACAAATGTGATTTGGGGAGCAGATGCTCGATATGCAGATGTCTGTAATGGAATCGAGCGATATTGAATCGGCCTACTTATCATAGAGACAAAAGGCACTCTTCCCGCCCGCGGCTTAAGGGTCATAGGAGGTGTGTGTGTGTGTGTGTGAAGAGGGGTAGTGGGCTGAACTTGAAGAGGGGTGACTGAGACAGAGGCGGAGGGTCAGTAACGGACGAGCTGGACAGCGGGTATAAGATGGGCTTCAAGTGAGAAAGAGAGAGACTTATCACCACTACAGTTTTTTTTTACAATCTCTATTTTATATGATTATTATTACTGAGATGATATCCCACGTTGTGTAATAATCATTGATTCATTCATTCAGTAGTCGCTTTATCTCAGTCAGGGTTGCTGTGTTCCTCATTTGTCAGTCGCTTTGGATAAAAGCTAAATGAATGACTGTAAATGTAATGATTTTTAATTTAGAAAACCGAAATCGAAATTTTAAGCGCTTGTTTTTTCCCGTGTAACTTTTGAAATACAACTTAATAACTTTAAAGTATAGCCTGCTTGTGATTGTTCTGATACGATATGTATAGTTCACATAGTTCATGTTTTAACTGTTTTTAGATCAAAAGAAAAGCCTCTCAAAAAAGATAGATATTTAGAAAATGGGGAAGTGGTATTAATGACTTGTTTATAACTGATTTATACACCGACGCACGCCCTATACACCTCCTGTGATCTGCTTCGAAGACTATACAGGCTAAATGAGAGATCAAGTGATTGTATTAACATCATTCCAGAAGATGTTGGGGTTTAATTTCTGTACGGTTGAAAGAAACAATTGTGACAGTCTTAAATTCAAAGCCATTATACTAAAATATTCCATCTGTGGTTTTGAGCAGAGCTCAGGCAGACAAAGCAAGAGGGATCATTCCCGAAAGCCACGAGAGCTGAGGCGATCCGGCTTGATCTGATGTGATATTATAGACAAGTTATATAGTCCAGTATGTGATGAGTAATTATGACTAAGGATATAAAATTAGTCATCAAGGTACATGAAGTACAATTCTGGGCATTGCGCTCTCTGGTGGACATGAGGAGTATCACACTACTGGCTGCACTGACCTTAACTGTGCTGACTTTACGTGTCTTTTATCCATGGGGATACATTTAGTACCAGAAAGTCTTTGATCTAGTGTGAGCTGGTGTTCCAGGAGGATACATGTTTAAATGCCCCGCTGAACAATACAATTGAAACCCTCATCGAATGTGTAATGGATTTAATGGTTAATATTACACTCAGTTACATTTATATAGTGCTTTTCAAGACTCTCAAAGCGCTTTATATGGGGAGGGGAGGGGAGGGGGGCGTCTCCTCAACCATCACTAGTGTGTAGCATCCATCTGGATGATGCGACGGCAGCCGTAGTACTCCAGAACGCCCTCCACACACCAGCTACTAGTGGAGACGAGAGAGAGCTATGTAGCCAATTCAGAGATGGAGATTATTAGGGGGCCATGATAGAGAATGGTCAAAGGGAGAATTTGGGCAGGACACTGGAGTTTCACCCCCTACTCTTTACCATAAGTGTCCTGGGATTTTTAATGACCACAGAGAGTCATTAAAACCAAAAACTTCTCATTACAGTATAGTGTCCCCGTCACTATACTGGGGCATTAGGCCTCACACAGACCACAGGGTGTGCGCCCCCTGTTGGCCTTACTAATACCACTTCCAGCAGCAACCTTAGTTTTCCCCAGGAGGTCTCCCTGCCAGCTACTGGGCCAGGTTCAACCCTGCTTATCACCAGTGGGACTGCAGGCGAGAACTGCAGGGAGAAATGACTCTGGCATATAATGGGAATTGTATTGGTTTTAATGGATATTCTAATGGTCCCTGTGGGTCTCTACTACTAATTTTTTGTCTAATATTGGTGGCATATATCTAGTGGATACCATTAACGATCAGTAATGGTAACGGTTTGAATGGCTAGCTGATGGTTTGTAATGGAATTCCTAGTGGAAACCATTAGAAATTCTGTGATGGTTTCTATTGTTTTTTTGTTTTTTGTTTTTAATAGAAAACCCACACACATCACACACAGAGAGACCAAAAGTCTTCTCGAGCTTGTAAAAACAAAGCATGAAGTTCGGAAAGTGTTCTAACGATACATTTAAATTCATCCTAACACACATTTAGATCATGTTCAAACGTAAACATATTAAACCTCGGCGTTATGTTTGTTCCAATGTGTGTTCTTCTTCTATATATATATATATATATATATATATATATATATATATATATATATATATATATATATATATATATATATATATATATATATATATAAATAAAACTAATAACTAGGGGTTCTGACTACAAACGAGGACAGCAAACCCTACAGCAGACACATCTTCCAACACCTAGCGCGTCCCTCTGACGTCACATGCCCGTCACGTGGTCGTCGCGAGTTCTCGCGAGCTCTCGCGAGATTTGGTCCGGAGTGAACGCCACGTCAGTCCGCGAGCACAGCGGAGAGCATCTACTGGTCTGCAGCCTCCAGGGACGCGGTTTCAGGGTCCTCCTCATTCAGAACGGTAGATTTCCAGCCGCTGCACGCTCCACTCCGGCGGTGAGTCTATTCCACTGTTTCATCTTCTACAGTCGAGTAAATAAAGCATATGTGCCGTGTTGTGTCGCGCGGGGCTACACTGCTAGCCGGCTAGTTCACCTCCAGGGCTTCTGCACGCATTCATAGCTTCCTAATCGTCATGAACAGATGTGGCGTGTCATAAAGGACCCTTTAATCCTGCTGTAGACTGCGGGTTAGTCGAACAGACATGAGGGAGTGAAACACATAGGAGGTGTGTTTATTAGAGGAAGCTCTTTAATAGAGGCTGTGTCCCAAATGGAGCTCTGCTTCATACATCAAGTACCCTACATCAGTATCTACATCAAGTACCTTAGATCAAGTACCTACATCAAGTACCTTAGATCAAGTACCTTAGATCAAGTACGTCTCACCCAACCGAGTGCGCTGTACAGTGTACACAACAGGAAGTTCTCTGGGGTTCATTTCCTGTCTCGATGTGTCATGCCCTTATATAAGATCACTACTCAGGGCACTTTATCACCCCAGGTTCCTGCTTTTCGATAAACCGTACCACTCACTAACTAGAACCAGTATATATATATATATATAGATCTATCCTTACGTCAAGGAGACCTCCGAGTATTAACAGTTAGACGATCGTAAAGCTGTCGGTGTTCACCGACACATCCGCCCACCGGGACAACACCATCCGCCCTCCGTCTCGAAAGCTCTGGCTTGCTTTGTGAGCTGCATCCTGATTGGTCAGGTGGTAACCAGGTGCATGACGACTCCTCGGCGATGTTAAATACCCTGTGGGTTTTTTTTTTTTTTTTTTTCGTCGGTGTTGTTGATTTATAAACGTATTCAGTGCAGGATTTTTTCCCACCTCAAGTAAGTCACTTCCACGTCCGTGGTAGTTCCACACCTCGCTTAATTAAACACCGGAGTATTTACACACTCTGTTAGCTCAGCGCTAGTCACACTAGGTGTCCGTACACATCCTGATCAGGGTTGGAGAGTAAATGGTGTGTGTTCTCGTTTCCCTCCAGGTGAGATGAGGGCATTGTGTGTGTCTGTGCTGCTGCTGGTGTTTGGTTTAGCAGTGCTGTCATGTGAGCACGGGCACCACCATGACCACCACGGACACCACCACGGGCACCACCATGGACACCACCACGGGCATCACCACGGGCATCACCACGGGCACCACCACGGGCACCACCATGACGACGGAAAGATGTTTCATGGTGCAAGCAAATGGAGTGCTCAGGCCAATCTGCCTCCTGAGGAGGAGCTTCCG